GGTGGTCGTGCTGGCATTGATTGTTCGGGAGTTGCCGTTGCCGCTGGCTTCGCTGGTGGTGGATGATGTTGCGATGGCATCGCCGGAATTGGATGTGGTGGTTGTGATGGTGTTGGTGTCGGCGGTTTTGCAGGTGCTGTTGTTGCGATGGTTGGCATTGCTGCTTTTGCTGGTTGTGTGGGTGTTGGTATGGTGGTTGTTGGTGCTGCTACTGCAGGCTCACCAAGTTTCGCCGGCATGGCCTTGATCGGAGTCGTTGCTTTGGCTGTGTCTGGTTCTGTTGTTGCTGTCATCACTGTTGCCTGTGGTGTTAGGTATGTTGGAACTGCTGCTACAGTCGCTTCAGGTGGTGGTGCTGGTGGAAATGTTGCACTCTCAGTTGTTGTTGGCATCGATGGTTGAGCTGGTTCTGCTGATGGTGGTTCTGCCGTTGGTATTGGTGATGGTGGTGCAGGTGTTGGTGTTGGTCTTGGTGCTGGCGGTGGTTCTGATGATGGTTGTCCTGTCTTTGGCAGTGGTGATGGTGATGCAGGTGATGGAGTTGGTGATGGTGATACTGGAGATGGTTGTCCGGTTCGTGTTGCACTCCTGGCTGGGGCTTCTGTGGATGATCTGGCAGGTGCTTCTGCTGGGGTTTCGGGGACATCTGCATACGGATTATCACTTGGGGCTACACCAATGGGAACATCTGGGGTTTCCTGGTACTGACGATTCATATGGCTATATAACCCATAGACCGTTGGGGGTAAACCACCACCTCTCCTGGGAATGCTCTGGAATGCGTCAGTCCTAAACACAAGATGTCCACTGGGAGCCCTCTCAAGTGGAATGTGAATCGCGTCCGAACCCCAGCTAATGGTATAGCTACCCGTGGCTGTGAGGGTGAGCATTTCCCTGCCAGGTGCCATTTCCAGCACGGCGTTGTGATTGCTCATGCTCCTCAAGCCAAGTAGTGCCGGGAGGTCACGGCCCTCCCCTTCTACCATTGGGGTTTCGAAGTTGAATGATACAGATTCTCCCCTAACCAATGGACCATCACCTTCTTCCGGTTGAGATCGGGGGTGGATGATGTTGGGTATTGCTATCGGCAATGTGGCAACATGCGTACAGCTTTGAGTACCCTGTCCTACTCCCCTGACGGCCATTGGATTAGTCATGGACTTACGCGTTGACCTCAAGCCCGCATTCCGCGCGGCTGTAGCTTGGCGTTCAGCCCATTGCTGACCTGCTAGATTGGTCCATGCCCCTGGATCAACTACAATTGATTGGTGACCAGGCACTTGGGTGGATGAGTGGTAGGCTGTGGCGGCTCCAGCAGCTTCTGGAGCATCTGGCCACCATGGAAAAGTGGGGGTCCCATATGGTGTCCTAAACTCATCATGTTGATCTGCTCTTGGAGATGTGGGTGCGATGTAGCGATAATGTGCAACTACATGTCCCCCACCACGGCAGCATGGGCATGTTGGATTTTCTTCCCTCAAAAGAACTTCAGTCCAACAATTTTCATGGAAGGTATGCCTGCAGGTCAATCGCACCAGTTGTTCTCCTGCATTATATTCTTCCAAACAGATGCTGCAGCGGTGTTCATCCCCTAAGTATTCAACATTGGTGTGTTCGGCATGTGGAGTTACCATGGGTTCTGCATTATTCGAGGGCACAGCAGTGGGGGCCGGATTCACCTCACTCCTCGAACCTTCCGAGCCTCTGTTCCTCATCTCCTGCAAGGTCATCATCGTCCGGTGTTGATGATGAAGAGCACGTACCTGCGGATGGTTGAATGCTGGTTCACTGACCTGTCCGGATGTTCTAGAAGCTATTGGGACCTCACGCAGCTGGCTTGCCTGATGAAAATCCCCCACAACTTGACTACGGATCGGGTCAAGAGTGCTGATAGCATTCTCCGAGACAATCGGATGATAGGTCGGTGCATGCACCTCCGAGGCAGTTCCCTGCAGGAAGTTGAACTCGGGCATTGACGCCCATTCTGGTAATTCCGGTGCCGGATGCCGAAGGATCACCGTAGGGATCTCCCCTGGTCCCACGATCAGTGGGTGTTGCGACACTTCGTGCCGTTGGACCTGTGGTAATTGCATTGGTGGTGGTTGCATGTTTTGGGCAACATATGGTTCTTGAATAGTAGTCGATTCTGCAACAGGTTGCTGTGAAAATGGTTCATTGTTTACATTTCTGCCCTGTGGATTAGTGGGGTTATTCTGGGGAGGATTATTCATTGGATTAGTGGCTAATGGGGTGTTATGGGTAAATTGGTTCATCAGTGGCGGTCCGAATGATCGTGGTTCCGTGGTCGGATGCATCAGGCCATTCAGGCCGTTGAAGACACTCTGCATATACAAGGATTGGTCGGCCATATCCACTGTCCGGGTCGTGCGCGGCAGTGGTGGCATAGGGTTCACAATTCCCCCAACGACCTGCCTCCCTGTCCTGCTCTCGTGGTACCGCCTCCAAGGATCACTGTTGGCCCACGGGTCCTGGGGTACAGCTGGCAACGTGGATGCATTTGATGGAGGTCCGCCAGAAACTGTTGACCAATGATCAGTTCCGGATTCCTGTCCAACATTGACATCCACTTCATTAACCATGAGGACCGTGGTTGATGTGATTACTCCTGGGGGAATTTGATCGGCGGTATCCAAGTCTACAAACAGGTTCTGAGAAGTGTCACCAGCGGCAGCCCGTCTGGGGCATTTGGCGACCAGATGTTCTTCCGAACCACATTCGTGGCATTTCATCCTACGTCCATCCGGGCCTCTTGGATTGCCCTTTCTGCCCTTACCCTTGCCACTCCCTGCCCCTTTCTTTCCACCTTTTGCCCTAAAGGCAGGGAAAATTTCCATGAGCTGGGATTCATTGAGTTCGGACAAGTAAGATGAAGTGTTGATGATCTTGCCTTTGGATTTTCCATACTTTGTCTTACCACCTTTTCCACCTTTATTGATGGCTCTCCGGGCAAACCTCCGAGCTTTTCGGGTCGGCTTGCCCATGAATGACCTCCAGCGTGCCTTGGCACGGGAATAGGCCCAGTAGAGTTCGGCAGCCTGTTCGTTGGCCGTGGCACCCTCAGCAGCTGGCCAGGATTCATCTCCATAGTCACTGCTGGTATCGGTGTCAGTGCCACTGTCACCCTGTCCATCTGACAAATACACGTATGGATCATGTGGCTGTGTATAAGTAGGGTATGCTTCGGATGACTGTCATTGGGATTGCCAAGAACTATGGTCATGCCATGAACTACTGGGGTGGTCATACTGAGATGTGGGTACATTTTCATTCCATGAGTGATCGTCCTGAATATGGTAATTATGTGTTGGTTGTTGTCTACCCCGCAACATATTGGACATATTTCCTGGTGCATTTTCAATGATCCTACCCATGCGTCGAATGGCACCTTTCAACTCCGTGAACTGCTGCTCATCAGCAGGGAGAGCACCACCGAGTGGCTGCAATAGTTGGATCAATTGAGAATCCGAGACACCAACTGCACGGATCAGCAACCAAGAAAGACCAGCATAGCTCAGGGCGAGCCCACCTGTCTCTGCCGCACGCATGCGGGTAGTATCAAACCTAGTCAGCAGCGTGTCGATCCGTTCGTTGGATTCCCTTCCAAATGACAACAGATCTCCTACTGCCCCTAGCCGGACTTCCTCACCTAGCCTGGCAAATCGGGTGCTGAGTTGATACATCAGAAACGTTAGTGGATCGGTTTGGGTACCATTTACGGTCCCCCCTGTCAGAATGGTCTGAGGCGGAAGTGTCCTGCTGAACTCCCTAGCTGATCCCTGCAGCTGAGAAATCACACTAGCCGCCTTCCGAGATGCATCCCCATCTGTAGCAATGCTCCAAATCAAGATGTCTCTAGACCAAGTACTGAAACTATACTGATGCTCCATTTCGGGGCTCCATGCGGGGGGCAATCTTGGATGGCTACTCCTACCTGGCACCATGCAAGCGACTAACGCACATGTGCTGAGGCCGCCTCCAGCGGCTAGCACTAGTGTCGAGTCCGAGAGCGATCTACCATCACGGCGACCAGCGGTCATCGAACCCGAGTTGTCATGGGCTTCAGGAGACTTCACCTTCCGATTGCCTGCTTTGGATCCGGTCATGCAATGATTCCTGGATCTAATGGCTGCATCTTTCCCATAGATCAGCTTACAGAGTTCCTTGTGACGGGCCTTTAGATGTTTCAGCTTAGAGTCGTACATGTTTAGCATTCTTTCAAGTACTGATCTCTGCTGCCGTCTAAGCCGCCTACGCAAAAGCTCTGCCCTACGCTGATCTCGAGGGTTCATTTTGAACTTCCTCCTTGAGTGGTGCAGCCGCACCAGGGTCGAATTCAGCTCCTGCCTCCAAAGATCCCCATTCACCAGACTGGGCTTGTACTCGCCTTCGGACCTGGCCTGTACTGGGGCTTTACGACCATTGCTCGCTGCATACCAGTGTGTAGTGACACTGATCGAGCCTGCCCCAACCGCACTGGACTGGATCACAAGAGCGCTGGTATTGCGACTCTTGATCACCAGCCCAGTGCTGGCTGAGACAGACCCCACCAGTGCCACTACTAACACGGCACACAACTTCAGCACGGCGGTGAACATGATGACAATCAATGGAGTAAGGATGAAAAGAAAATGAAACAGTCGAGTCGACCCTTAGGGTATAGCAGATACCTTAAATGGGGGTTACTGCCGGGGTTCCCGGCTCCGCTACCAACTCGAAAAAGAGAGGAACTAACGTGACAAAGAAGTACTGTTTCCGCAAATGTCTGTTTTCCTCTGACTGCTTGTGACGAGGTCTTGTGTTTACCTAGGTCGAGCTCTAGAGCCAGAACAGTTACATGGACAACAATGAACCTGAGGTATGATAGATCATGTACCTTTCAAGTAACGATGCCTTTTCAACTTTTCAATTAGTAGAATCCCAATAATATTGACAATAAGCCAATGGATTTTTTGACATTCCTCAAAATTAATTCAAGTTTCAGTCAGAGGGAAGCCGAGTGCATGCATCACGCGAAGCACCGTGCTTCGACCTGATGGCCATGAAGGCACAAATCACAACCGCATATGACGCATATGTTTGTGCATATATATATATATGTGTGTGTGTGTGTCTTTCTTGCGTTTATTACATGGGCAAATGCGTATACCGTATCTACATGTACATATTCAACATGCGCACGAACGTATATAGATACACATAAGTAAGGATATTTATGTATTTCAAACGTTTGTCTGCATCTTTTATGTATATCATGCATGTGTGTGTGTGTGTGCGAGTCTTGTCAAACATGGGTGTGGATCCAATGCCAACAATGACGTGGTTTTCAGGGTTGGAAAATAGATCTCACCTAAATCCAACACACGACAACACATCTCAAACGCAAAAAGGAAAAATAGGAACTCTTTTGTCGGAACGTTCATCTACGTTTTCTTTTGGGTGCTTCGTTGACCAATTACCAAAAATTGGCATAGCTCAAACAGAAGGCCGGACCAAAATCCTGCCCTACCTGACTCATCCAGCTTGCAATGTTGGGTAATGTTTCATGCACACGACACTGGGCCATTCTGAGCCCCCTTGCGTACTCGTCCCCGGATACCACCCCTATTCCTCTCCAAGAATGCATCGTAGAGTTCCAATCTCCGCGCCCTGTCCGTTTGATCCGGGGCAAATCTGAAATTCATGGGTCGTTTGACAAACCAAAAATCAATCTGATTTATATGACCCACTATCCGCAGTTCATGTCATTTGGGATCAATAGGAACAACATGGAACAAATGTCATTTGGGATCAATAGGAACAACATGGAACAAACTATGTGTTGATTGTAGATTTCTTAGCGTTTTCTGCAACTAACGTCCAACATTGTATCCATATTCTATCCCCATATTTGTATATATTTGTTGCTTAAACCCTTGTATTTGGGGTCAGTAAAACCACCAGATTTTCCCTGTAATCGCACTGGTTGACTACAAGGCCTTGCTTTGGACTTGATGATATTCACCAGTTTTGTCAAGCGCGAATTAGAGGATGACCTGCCACGGCGCGCGGTTGACACATGGACGGACACAATGGTGGTGTGGGAAGGCAACCCGCTCAGAAGAAGGCAAAACCTCCTTTGTGGCGGTGCCACAATGATTCATACACATATAATATTTAATATATAGTATATAATTTATATAATATAGAAAAATGATATATAATATAGAAAAAATGATATATAATATAATATATATAAAATATGATATTAAAAAAAAACATGTATCATAAACAAATATAGAATATATCATATATCATATTAAATAACTTATATTTAATATATAATATACGTAATGTCAACCCCAGATTAATAAGCCATTGTTTATTAATTAGGGGGTACTCCTCCGATAGTCATAATCTGATACTTAAATGGTGCCCTCCCAATTAAACAGCCTAGAGGTTTATTAATCCAGGGTTGACATTATATAGAACCGAAGGAGATTTAGAAGTCAAACTTCCGATTCTATGGACAGGGCGGGCAGCGTCAGAGAAAAGAAAGAGTCAGCAGAAAGAAGAAGAGAAAGAGTGAGAAGAAAGTAGATGCAGCCGCGCAAAAAGGTAGAAAGTCGCGAAACTGTTTTTTCTATAATGTGTTGTGGCTCAGGTGCGGAATCCCTTGCGCCTGCCACACAAAACCACATCTGAACCTTCACAAGTGGTCCGAACATGTGGTGCTTTTAACAGTTTGACCTGGAAATGTGCTTCGCGCCACAACGGCGTGCACTTTTTCAACATCTCAACTTCCAAAAGTGCTCCGAGACCGTCAGTTTTTAACTTTTACCCTTTTGACTTCGAAACGTGCTTCGCGCCACAACGGCGTGCACTTTGTCGACATCTGAGCTTCCAAAAGTGTTCCGAGGCTGAAGTGCTTTGTACATTTTGACTTGGAAATGTGCTTCGCGCCACAGTGGCATGCATATTTTCGACATGTCAACTTCCAAAAGTACTCCGACCCCATCAGTTCTTTACACTTTTGACTCCGAAATGTGCTTCGCGCCACAACAGCGTACACTTTTTCGACATCTCAACTTCTAAAAGTGTTCTGAGCGCGGTGTGCTTTGTACATTTTGACTTCGAAATGTGCTTGGCGCCACAACGGTGTGCACTTTTCCACATCTCAACTTCTCAACTTCCAAAAGTGCTCCGAACGTGAGGTGCTTTTAGCTTTTTCACTTGCAAATGTGCTTCGTGCCACAACGGCGTGCAACTTTTCATCTCTCACCTGGCCAGATGGCTCCGCACCCGCCGCTTTAGCGAGCCTACCTTTCGACCCTCGGGAGCCACAAATGATTGGAAAAACACAGTGAATCGCGACTGTTCTACCCTTTCGCACGCCTGCATATTCTTTCTTCTGACATTTTCTCTTCTCTGATCTTCTTTCTTCTCTTCTCTTCTCTTCTCTTCTCTTTTCTGACTCTTCCCACCTCTGCTTTTTCATCTGTCCATATTGCCGTAAGTTTGACTTCTAAACTTCCTTCGGTAATTATTTCTTTAACACAATCTCCCAGCTACATGTTCAATCTCTAAACCGTGTAATGCCGAACTTCGCCCATTTCCTTCAACGGCTATGGGATGGTCTAGGTTGAAAACAATTGGCAACTTGGTGAGCACCAAAATGGTTGACAATGCTGTCAGCAATGCTGTCAGCAATGCTGTCAGCAATGCTGTCAGCAATGCTGTCAGCAATGCTGTCAGCAATGCTGTCAGCAATGCTGTCAGTTCTGATTTCCCCCTTTCACCGATCCCGGTTGCCGCTGAGCCATCCATTTTGGGGGCGAACTGGCCCCGCTGCCTTTGACTTCCATCCTTTTGTGCAGCCTTTGCCGCCTGTGACCAGGGTCATGATGAAGAGCCAGACTGTCTGTAATCATTGTAATCATTGTGCAAAATGAACCTTGCATCCTTGCATCTATCATATAGATTATATATCGCACACAAATGTATATATATATATAATATATATATACATACATATGTAATATATATATATATATACATACATATGTAATATATATATATACATACATATGTAATACATATATATATTATACATTATTATACTATACTATACAATACAATACAATACAATACAAGACAAGACAAGACAATACACATATGTATATATATATGTGTGTGCATATGTCATTATATGTACATACACATCAGCTCCACAGTGGTTGAAGGTAGAGGAGGAATATCCACGGTTTGCACAAAACCCTCACTGGTTTGCACATCACATCTGCCAAGATCTGCCAAGCTCGGTCCCAAGTTCTCCCAACGTCCTCCAGTCGCCCAACATCTTTGCAAAAGTCGCGGTAGCGAAAGAAATTTCTCGGATCGGTGGCAGCATCACCTGTCGGGTCGTCCAAAAAACCGTTGGGGCATCCACACATGGAGCAAATCTGCTGGCCAACTGCTCTGAAACTACCTGGTAGGGAATCCAGGTTGACTTGGGGTATCTTGAGATGATATGGTAAAACAGGATCACTTTGGAACACAGTCAAAAGCATCACTTTGTAACACAGCCATTTTGGCATCACTTTGGAACACAAAATGCACATATCATCAGACCACCGACAACAAACAGTGAAGGCCTTTAGTCACATCAACTTTTGGGGACCAACTTAATTCCTATGGGGAAAAGTCGATGCGACCCCGTCACATCATGGTCACATCAACCATGCCAAATAGCTTGGGAGAGGGCTGTATTTCATTGGTTCTAAAACCTGACATTTTAGATAATGATTGAGTTTACCAATGGAAACTGGTGTTTAACCGCGCAACATGTCGATCAACTATTGGGGATATACCATATTACTCGAAATCATAGTTGGCAATTGGTGGGTCAGAATTCATTAGCAGCTATGAACTCGATGGTTTGGCAATGTATACAACATTCGCCAATATGGTTTAAATGGCGGCCAGACTGGGCCAACGTGCATACACAAACTCAAGGCCACAAGTTGAACCCTACAACACAAGAGTTTCTGCCACCCTGGCCCAAACATAACGATCTCCCAAACTGTAAGCCAATCAATTTCTACTTGTTTGATTTGTTTGATAGGAAGCATCTTGCGGAATAACCACAAAAATAAGCAAAAAGAAGTAACATTTTGAATCATTTTTATACCCAATTCTGCAAGGGACAACGAATATTGATGCGACCCCCCCGGGAAGCTCCACCGCAACTGATTGACTGAAAACACCAAAATCGATACGACTTAAAAAAGTCCGACTTAATGCCCTGACTGAAAACAGACATCAGATTTACTGACAGGCGCAGCACTTTGGAAGTCTCGCGCGTTCCAAAGCGATGCCTCTACCAAAAAAAGGGCTCCAATGAGAAATGTAGTCTTTAGGTCGATGTCACCAAGTGCCACGCCTGCCACACAAAATGAAGGCCCATGTCAGCAAGTGCCACGCCTGCCACACAACATGGACGTCGATGTCACCAAGTGCCACGCCTGCCACACAAACTGTACGTTGCCAATCCTGACAGTCACAATGGTTCCGGTTCTACCTTCTAGGTTTTTGGGGGGGTGGGAGGGGTTAGGGCTCACGACGGGGGCTGGTTTAGGGCTCACATCATGTGCCAAAACTGACAGTAACAATGGTTCTACCTTTTAGGCTTTTGGGGGGGGTGGGGGGGTTAGGCTCACGACTGTTGATGCTTCAGCGTCTTAGAATGTTTCTTATCATGTGCCAATCCAGATAATAACAATGGTTCTACCTTTGAAGCCTTTTGGGGGGTGGGGGGGTGGTTTAGGGTTCACATCATGTGCCAAAACTGACAGTAACAATGGTTCTACCTTTTAGGCTTTTGCGGGGGTGGGGGGGTTAGGCTCACGACTGTTGATGCTTCAGGGTGTTAGAATCTTTTTTATCATATTTATGCCAATCCAGATAATAACAATGGTTCTACCTTTTAGGCCTTTGGGGGGTGGGGGGGTGGTTTAGGGTTCACATCATGTGCCAAAACTGACAGTACACCCGGACGTGAAAGTCAGTGCATATGTGGAACCAAGGTAAAAACTGCATGGGACGCCGCGCATTCAGGAAGTCAAACAAGTCAATGCAACCAGGTCTAAAACTGCATGGGACGCACTATGTAGAAGTGTTACTTTTAGATCCCTGGCAGTGCACTTTTCTATTGCCAAATTTTCCAAATCCCCATCAGGACGCGTGTGCACAGTTATGTCCCATAATCTTAAAAATATATACCAAATTTTCCAAATCCCCATCAGGACGCGTCTCCACACATGAATCTCAAATATGTCTGAATAATAATCTGAAGGAATGTTTCTGGTGGCTTTCCTAAAGGAACTTGATAAGAAATAGAAGACTTCGGGATTCGAATGTTGCTAAGTGAATGTACAGTTGGAAATCTCATCCACGTTCTCTGCCCTGGCACACCGCTTACGCCAGACAAAATCTCTTGCTTCTCTGCCCAAAAACCGCGCCTTGCCCAGAAGCAGCAACACAAGCAACAACAACAGCAGCAGCAGCAGCAGACCATTGCAAAGCTTTCCAAAACCTCTCCGGGCTAGGTTTTGACTGGCTGCAATTTTAACGAGGTCCGAACGAGGTGCAAACGAGGTCCAAACGAGGTCCGAAATCAGATTTTGGGAGACTGACCCCCTAAGTCTCCTGACAAACTCTTTGGTAGCCACACGCTTTCGCATTCTTTTCATAACAGTTAGACTCAAGCGCTTCCAGCGGTGGAGCAGAAGAGGAAACCAAGCCAAGCAGCAGCTGCAGGCAAGAGCAAGGAGAGAGAAGAGGAGACAAAGGGCGAGTAAGGGAGACAGAGGGGAGACAGAGGGGAGACAAAGGGACGCAAGCTTGGCAAACAAGTATACAATTGCCACGACTTTCATCTTTGGGAGTATAGTGGGTAAACCCAAAAAGATATGACAGGTAAGCGTCGTGTGCCTATGCGAAGTGCCAAAAAATACATCAGTAAGTTAAAGTGATAGGCGCCGCCCATGCGGGCCTTTCCCCATAGGCACTTGTTATAACATCGACCCAGTAATCGTCGGTGTTTGTATGAATCTTGCACAACAGAGCGAGCCACAAGTGATGTACAAAACTCCCAAAACACAAGGGAATAGCTACAACCATCTGCATGGTATCCATGAAAAACTCACGATAAACCATCAATTGGAGAAAACACAAACATGCTAAACACCAACTGGACGCAACATCGCACCGACTTCCAGAAATTTCTCCCCCACCTAGGACGCACATTTCATTGAAACGCTTTGACTTCCACAACTAGGAGTAACATACAGTAACAATGGTTCTACCTTTTAGGCTTTTGGGGGGATGGGGGGGGTTAGGGCTCACGACTGTTGATGCTCCAGCGTCTTAGAATGTTTCTTGTCATGTGCCAATCCAGATAATAACGGGTGGTTTAGGGTTCGCATCATGTGCGAAAGGAAAAAACGCCCGCCAAACAGAGACCGACAGAACAGAAAAGGACAGCAAGCGAGGTACCAGCACAATTGAGGGCGAGGAACCAAGACAAGACAACGGACAAAGGAGAAAAGCAAGCCAACCCCAAGAAACCTGAAGGACAGCAAAAGACACGGCAGGACAGCAAAAGCCTGAACTCCCCCCACCTTCCCGGTAGCTCATGATGATGATGATGATGATGATGATGATGATGATGACGATGACGATGACGATGACGATGACGATGACGATGAGGGTGAGGGTGAGGATGAGGATGAGGATGAGGATAAGGATGAGGATGAGGATGAGGATGAGGATGAGAATGGGGATGAGGATGAGGATGAGGATGAGGATGAGCATGAGGATGATGATGATGATGATGATGATGATGATGATGAAGATGACGATGACGATGACGATGACGATGACGATGAGGAGGGTGAGGATGAGGATGAGGATGAGGATGAGGATGAGGATGAGGATGAGGATGAGGATGATGATGATGATGATGATGATGACGATGACGATGACGATGACGATGACGATGATGACGATGACGATGACGATGACGATGACGACGATGAGCATGATGACGATGACGACGATGACGACGATGACGACGATGATGACGATGACGATGGCGATGACGATGACGATGACGATGACGATGACGATCAGGATGAGGATGAGGAGGAGGATGATGATGATGATGATGATGATGATGATGATGATGATGATGATGATGACGATGACGATGACGATGACGATGACGGTGAGGAGGGTGAGGATGAGGATGAGGATGAGGATGAGGATGAGGATGAGGATGAGGATGAGGATGGGAATGAGGATGAGGATGAGGATGAGGATGATGAGGATGATGATGATGATGATGATGATGATGATGATGACGATGACGATGACGATGACGATGACGATGACGATGACGATGACGATGAGGAGGGGGAGGATGAGGATGAGGATGAGGATGAGGATGAGGATGAGGATGATGATGATGATGATGATGATGATGATGATGATGATGATGACGATGACGATGACGATGACGATGACGATGACGATGACGATGACGATGACGATGACGATGACGATGACGATGACGATGACGATGACGATGACGATGACGATGAGGATGAGGATGAGGATGAGGATGATGATGATGATGATGATGATGATGATGATGATGATGATGATGATGATGATGATGATGATGATGATCAGGCGCGTTACAAAGCGATGCGTTTGGTCGCCTTCCGAAGCGAGGGCCTTTCCTTGGGATGATGAGGGATGGACAATCTTCACCATCCCAATCCATTTCACGTCAGGAGTCAGGTCTCATCAGGTCTCCAAGATCCACTGGGCTTCAACATGCTCCGCCTGGGCCGATGGAGCTGTAAGCCTTCTCCAGCACTTCCAGCCTCGGGTCCCATGGGGTTCTCAACAGGAGATCCACTGGCATCATGGCATGCTCATAGCAGCCTCTATCTCCATCAATGCATCCAGATTCCAAAGGTGGCCGCATGAACCCACCTGCACCAATGTGTTGAATGTGTTTGTGCGCGGCAATTCTGCTTCGTTTCTGGGCTGCTGGCTCCGCACGTTGAAGGTCCAAACCCAGGATTGCCAGCCTAACAGGAACTCGACGCAAAGAATGTCTGGAAAAGTCCATCGGAAACCCATAACAAACAGCCGCAACTATTTGAAACAGAACAGGAGAGAAGAAACATGCAGAAACATGAAGAAACTAAGGCTACACAGCACCTGATGCAGGCATGTTGGGTTGCCAAAGGCTGAAGGCGCTGAGGGTTTGACGTTGATCGCATCTGCCCTGCGGCCACTACCTGGGTATCTGGTGCTCATGCTTTACAGCCTGAGGCAACCATGAATGGGGTTGTGCCTGCCCAAAATTCGAGAAAGTCCAGCATTTCAAGGAGTGTTACCAAGTTACCCAGATGATCGGGAAATCATGTTTCCTTTGCTTTCCATTGTTCTTCCAGAGTTCTTCCCCCGCTGGCAGGCGAACCCCCTTGCGCAAGCGATCAAAGTCAATGAAGCGCTCCGGCAGCCTTTCAGAGGTGACGGCAAGGTGTAGGAATATCTTTGGATTGATATTTGAGGGTAGGGGAAAGCAAGAAGCTACGAAAATAGGCATCGCACTTATATAATTAGACATGTCGATTTCTCTGTCAGCGGCGAGATACATTTCCAATTAATTATCATTAAGATTAAGATCGTTAACATACATATTAAGATTCAAACATGTTTAGAAACATATAACTTATAATTTAATTATAATCACCTTCTTTGCAACTCCCAACGCTCCCAAGCATCTTTCGGATGTGTGCGGCTTTGTTTGGCCTCGTTGATTCTGCACGCCTTTTCCAATTGAACATTAAGACCAAAGTCTGTATGTTTCAATGGATGTGTTTGGATTGTCCCAAAAACAACAAAAGCATCAAGTAGGACAAAGTAGGGATCTCGAGGCCACCCCGAAGGATCAACGAACGCAGCTCAGCAGAGCTGCCCATCCCTGCCCTGCGTGACACCTCAGGCTTCGTTTCCGCATGATGGAAGCGATCTTTGCAAGAACCTGCTGCAGCAGTGGCTGCATGGGTCCTTCCCCCTTGGTAGAGGGTGATTGGCCAAACGCATGGCTTCAAAGTCACAAAAAAAAAACACTACAGCCGTGGTTTCTCAACCCCAGCCCTCCCCATAGTGGTTGGATTTGGTTTTCTCCATTTTAGCATGGCCCGGATCAGAATGTTCGGAAGCCTCTGCATGAGCAGGAGACAAAAAAAAGACTCTGTGTTCCCATGATTCCCATGTGTTCCCACCAGAGATACCAAGAGTAGGGGCTTGTAATATCTTGTAATCCTTCGATAGCAATCATTCCGGATCCCCATCGGATCCCCATCGGATCCCTGCCGAATGGCAGTAGTTTGGGTACGCTTTGGCGCTGGTCTCAAGAACTGAGGTGCCTGCCTGATCCAGAGATATTCTGACCTGAGTGACAAGGCAACTCAAGGGAAGAAAGGCACCGTGGTTGTCTTGGCAAGGCCTTTACCCTGTCTGGCTTTGCAGATTAAAATGCTTCAATGACAGCTCAAGAGAGCAAGCGACCAAAGTGCATTTGTCCAACTTTCTTTGTGTCATGCACATCCAATCAGCACCTTGTCTTGTTTACAAGGGCTGCATCTGGGCTGCATCTCACTGATCTCCCAAGTTTACCAACGTATTGGCTGCACTGATCAACTGACAAGTGCGAGATTCCATGGTCAATCCACAAAGCTCCCCTCCAGGTAGGTAGGGTTGCACGATGGACCGCTCCCGCACCTGGTGGGGCCCTGCATAGCCATTGGCATTGTCCGTCAGGCATTCGGACCATTCGCCCCAGTCAGCCATGATGCAATCTTTCATGGCACTGGTTAGGTTGGTGCCATCTGGCTCGGGTAAGGGAGAAGCCCCGGGGATGGGATGAATCTTCACCACCTCACTGCTATTGTCCTTGCTGCTATTCTCCGCTGCGGCATAGGGTGCTTGGGGTTCTGGAGGTGCAACTTCCTCATCAGAGACCACTGAATAATTCACCCCTGGGCTGGCGGAGCTCAGGTTCTGTTCAGGCACCAGGAATCCGGTTTCATTGCCTGTGCTGTTGTGCTGATCCTGAATCCCCGCAGCTACGGCGGCGGCGCTGCCAACAGCATTGGCCACTGCAAGGACATCCTCCAAGCCCGAGATATTGCCGATTGACAGATTGGTACCATTGGAAGCTCCAGATGTTGAACTTGGGTCAGCTACCGTGGTCGTGGCATTTTTGGAAGCTGATTTGTTTCTGGACATGGCTTGGAGCAAAGAAACCCCTTTGCCTGCTAATGGTGCATGGCCATTCTGAGGTGCCAAGTCAGACTTGCACACTCCTGTGTGGCACTTCTCAGCCACAGCAAAAATCAAAAGGCAGCCGCTGAGCGCATGTCGCCAGCCAGCCATGGCACCGAATTACATATGAATCAGGATAGAAAATTCCTTATCTGGTCTCTATTTTGGCTCTCTGAGCTGCTAAGGTGCCTGAGCCAGGAAAAGATGTGCAACGTGTCAGGTTTTGCCACGACGCGGCATAGTACTGTATGTGAAGGACGCAATACAGAAGCCAGGCAGCATCAAAAAACAATGGCTGATTTCATGTTTTAAATCCACAGAAACCCGTGGTGTTCACCGCGAAGGGTGCAACCTGCAACATCACCTTTTTAGCACTGCATCTTGGGGCTGCCACCAACGGCTCCCGCCGCATTGGTGCAGTTTGTGGCCTGCCAGACGTTTCGCACTGATTTGTGACCGGTAAAAATCCTGCAGTGGATCTTGGTGGAATTCATCGAGAGCAGACTCTTTCTTTGTATTCATCTTGGCTTTGTCCACAGTCTCTGTTGTGCCAGCATGTGCCAACACAGGAATTTTTCAATCACTAATTCTCGCATTCCAGCTGGCACCATCCCCTCCAAATAGCACCAAATACTTTGCCCTGCGATGCGGAATTTGTTATTGCATGTCCTTAGACACCAGGTCCTTAGACACCACGTCCTTCGTGGTTTGGTGCCATATTACACCATAATAAACAAATAAACTGAATTTATAGTTTATAGACTACTACATGTATAAAATTATAATACACATACATACATACATATATATATATATAATTTTATATAACATTCTATACGGGTTAGCTATGGTTAGTTTACCATTTTCTTCTGGTTTACTGAGTGAAAAGGATCCTCCCAGATCCTCCCAGTATCCACAGCGCCTTGCACGGCGGCCACCAGAGCTAGCAGATCTGATCGGTCTCCTCCAAGGTTTTCCGGTGTAGATGGGCAGGGATTTTGCTAATGATGATCTGATGATTTAATAATGTTTCAAGGATGAATAATCCATCCAGCTAATCCATCTAATGATGATTTAATAATGTTTCAAGGATGAATAATCCATCCAGCTAATCCATCTAATGATGATTTAATGATGGTATATAATGATGACAGATGTTTACTCAATTCCAATGGTTTGTCCACCCAAGATTTATTGGTCATGCGGCGCAGATTCTTGGGGGCTTCAGGTCCTGGCTATCAAAAAGTTGGAAAACTCATCATAATTAAAACTAAACGTTACAAGTTGATGCGAAGACTGTACTGATTAGGTTGCTTGATGTTGCAACGAGCGAGACCTAATCTCCATATATCTCCATCAGCTCCGATCACTAGCCACAAAGTCAACATGTCTGGGGTATCGCCTTTTACTTGTTAAAACCGCATTTTACTCTTGCAGACTCATTTTGAATCGTGTTCGTCGGTTACAGAGGCCCAAAATCCACAATAAGATCAGGTAAAGAGGGAGGGACCACAATCTGCAGCGTGTAGCTTCGAGCCGAGCTCCTTTGATCCTCCAGGTTGGAGCTGACCTTAGGAGCGGCATGGCGCCCTTGGTTAGTGGGGGCCACGGAATGCTCGTCAGCATGGTCAGCTCCAGCAGCATCAATGTATCATCCTGCATAGGTATAGAGAGAGAGAGAGAGTCAGTACCCTCTGGTAAACTAACATAGCTATGGAAAATCACCATTTTTAATGGGTAAATCCACTATACATGGCAATTTTCAATAGCTATATGTTAGTTTACCAGAGGGTATCTAACATGATTCAAAAGGATACCCCAAGTTCACTCACGTGTCATGCCTCTTGAAGGAGCACCACGGAGCAGCCATCACAGATGATTCTGCCTGAGGCTGCCACTGGCCGAGAGCTCCTTGAAGGTTGTGAGATTGTGTCCTGTCAAGGTGACACTCTTTTAGTATCATGGTATATCCCCAATCTAATGAGATATATAATGATATATATATATACACATTATAGTGCATTAATTATAGTGCATTATATTATGGATAAATGATGGTGACATAATAGAGATTGGAGATATGACGGGAATACGATGATGATAATAGCAACAATTCAGGACTTGAAACAAGCCGTTGTCCGCGATCCTCCAGACCACAAGGGACTTCATCATCTTCATCTTGGTCGCTGTAAACGCCTCCGGGGCACCACCCAACTATGGAGCAAAGGCAGGAGCACTGAAGCAGCTTCTAAGCCGGATAAAATGTGACATTCTCAATCATACACTTTCCCAGTCAACATGTATGAGATTGCATGATGACCTCATACATAAACCGTCATGAAATTATTTGAACGCTTCGGGACATTCTTCATCATAGAAGTGGGTAAAAAATCGGCTTGACCAAATGGGATTCTGGTTCAGAGACCTCTTGATTTCCCAATCCGCACCTGCTGAAATTTCCTCTGCGCGGTTGGCCTGTACCCGGGCACAGGCTCTGCAAAGCCCAGGCAGAGGTTCGGAGGTCGGCACACTTAAACAAAGTAAGCGCTTGGAGCTGATCCCATGATTCCAACATATTCCAGTGGGACTTTCCATTCCAAGCAGGGACGGAACATTCGAGAAAAATGAAACCACCAACCAGAAAGTAAATGAAAACAGTATACTCAGTAGACTGTACAGTAGTGAATTTGGGGTCCCCAAGTTTGGGTCCAATTCCTGATGATCCAATGCCTCAACTATCTCCAACACGTCCATCTCCAGCGCATGTAGATGCACCGTCTGGGATGGCAAGGATGGCAAGGATGGCAAGGGCCATCCAAACTTATCAACCTACAGTGACCTACAGAATCCGACTGTTTTTTCGGACCCGAAGTGGGGCCAGAACTCATAAGGCCCATAAGGCCCCATAAGGCCCCATAAGACCCCAACCCCGTGCTTGTCCGTGTATCTTCGGACCAGGATGTCTATGTCTTCATTGCTGAACTGGGACCTGAGGCGGCGTGTCTGCCAACGCCATGAGTGGACTGTGTCATGGAGCGGTCACCGATCATGGGCAGCTGCCAACTGGGCCACCCTACATGAAGGGAAAGCGCTGAAGCAGCACAGAGCTGGGTACTTTGCCACTACCTCTGGGACACCTTCGCATCGGCGTGGCATGGTGAGATCTACATTACACACTGTAGTTACTGTAGTTTATGTAGGGCCAGGCAATTTTCCCCATCAGAGGTCTTAAGAATACCGGTGAAAAACATCTGAGCTCAACACTCCTATAATCCTCAACCCGAACCAACCATGTAGCAAGGGAAACTCCCATACCAAACAAACCGGCGCGCGAAATCCGGCGGAAAAGTGCAAAAAACGATGCGCGATTTCCTTGACCATGAGGAATACTTAGGGGTGTCGTCACTGTTTCGACACACTCGTTTACCCAACATTGTTGCTTACAGCCTCGTGGTATGTCCCATACCTCCAGCAACAGCTGCTGGTCACATCCCCATTTGAGTGGTGCATACCCGTCTGCAATTTCAGCTGGTAGTGGAAAATCCGTGTTGCAATATCTAATTCCGAATTTTGGCCAAATTCACATGATGGCCGATTGAATCCCAGTCCTTGCGGGCATTGTATGGCATTTATCATGACTTTTATCATGTTTGATGGTGCTCTATAGACCAACATAGCACAACTCATGCGGTTTCAGCGGCTCATTGCCCGTCTTCGCTCGCAAGCAACTGGAGAGCCTTGGCTCGTTCAGGGTGGACTCGATGCGACATAAGTCCATCAAGCACAAAATGGGCGAGTCGGCGTATGTATTGGGTATATTTATGCCCTTGATTTGTTTGATATGTCGTTAATGATTTGTTTTAGATTCACACCCTATAATGATTCTTCGACATGTGTGAAAGGCGAAGCGCTTTTGAAACATTCTGGACATGGCAAAACCCGGTGTACATCGAGCTGCGCAGGTTGCCATCTTGGACCCACACTCCACGCCACGAGTGCGACAAAGCACAGCTACCTCTTCAGCATAGTGCAGGAATGGGGGGTCAAGATTGGGACCTCCAAAACATCCAAAACAAGATAAACTGACTAGGATCTGTCTCGGTTGGATAGTCCTGAATTTGACTCATGCCCAAGTGGTTGATTGATAGAGATGTTCATCATCTGTAGTGACTCCGTCCGAATCCGGAAAACAAACACACTTCTGATTGATCACTGCTCAGTTGCACAGAGTCTGTTTTCCAAATGGCCCGCCTTGTTCAGAATCGTTCCTAGCCGATCCTGCCGCGAGACCGGAATGACCTGTATCTACATGTGCGCATGTATATGCACAATGGATATATGCTGTAATCATATCATTGATGATCCATATCCAGCTAAGATTCAAAGCTCAGAGCGCAAACCAAAAACAAAATACAAAAAACTGAGGATCATGTTACAATATTACATATACAAACATATACTGCATATATCTATGCATTTATTTTCACCATTGCGTTTTTGGCTTTTATGATGTTCCATCTTTAGCTCGAGGGCACTCTTTTTGCGTCACCTCATCGCCGGGAAAGGACTTCGGCTTGAAGTATCCACCAGCCTCAGCCGATGTCCACAGCATGCTTTCATAAAATGCATGTGTCCTTTGAAATCTTTTTGGCACCAATCCTCCGGAACAAAAAAGAACCAAAAATGGTCTTGGAATGGGGCACTGGTTTCTGAATCTAGATATATAGATTAGATTAAGTTTAGATTAGATTACATTGATAGGTAGATAGACAGATAACTAAATAGCTAGATAGCTAGATAGCTAGATAGCTAGATAGGATCGGATAGGATTAGATTTAGATTAGTTTTAGATTAGAATTGGATTAGATTCGATTAGATGTTAGATAAAATAGGATCAGATCATTATTCAAACCAATATCATATTGGACAGAGTATACATGTACACACATTTTTTTCCTTGTTGGCACATCGTAGCAAGATCTGCTGTGTACACACACACATAAATATATATATATATACCAATTCAATATATATGTATATATAAGTTACTGTAAGCGGGGCCCCGCACACTTCGTAGCCGTTCTCCTGGCAACAGCACCTTCATCATAGCGACACTCAATGGTTTTTTTTTCATAGGGGAAATGGGGGAAACCCTAAATGGATTTATAGTTGGGATTTATAGTTACTATACTTACTATACTTGGGACATCCCCTAATTAAGTATGGTAATTTAACATGGGGAATAATATCTATAAGTGAGGGATTTTCCAACACGCCATGTTTGATGATCAAGGAATTGACCACATTTTGCTAAGTTCTACTTAAATCCCAATTTCAAAGCTAAAAAGTCGAGAAGCCTTGAAAAAAAACACGATAAACATAAACCTGCGGCTGGTTTGTCCGACCTCACCACATGTGAAAACGCCCAATGCTGAGCTTTGATCCATCCCCATATCCCAAGTACCAGAGGTGAATCCATGTGAAGCCCCATTTTCGATGGTGAAATCCTGTAAGTTGTCCA